GCTTAGTATTCATATTCCACTCAAAATCACTTGTTCTCTGTGAGTAGCTTTTCTTCAAAAAGCTGTGATGTTTTTAAGCTCCTAGCCTAAATACTAGCATACAACTCTTAAAAACATACACATTTGGAACCCATCCGATATAAAGCAATTTTTCTAAAATGGGTACGGTCAGGCAGAAGGTGAATTCATTAAAAACATATGGTCACGGAGGTCCTTCTAAAACAGCTTAGTGGCAGGCAGTCAAATGAACATGTTTAATCAATACATATTGCTAAAAATACTGGGGAAAGGGAAAGGGAAGAAAACAGAATTCTCTGCTTTGTTGATACCCAGATATGGGTTTTTCAGGTCGAGAGTAGATATAAAACACAGTAATTGAGGAAATGGCCCAGTCTCCCAGAAGGGACATGCCATCGGAGGAAGGTCAAGGGTCAAAATGGAAGCGGGTAAGAGGAGGAAGTTGCAACCCTGGATAAATTGCTTTTGGCTCTCAGTAGAGGTTTGGGATTTGGGACTATGATGGGTTCCATCAGGCAAATAACTCCTAGTGAGGTGTCTAGTCTCACTTAAGGTACAACAGAGAGGCAGAGAAGTGTTGAATCTGTGTCCAGTTTAGGTTTCAGGTTGGGGTGGGAGCCTATACCAGAGAAAGACAAATCCAGGGGAAGGAAGGAAGAGTGAGGCAGGGGATATAATTATATAATTTAAATAGTTTTGTGGATCAAGGCTTTTATCAACAACCCTGCTTCTGGTAATTATTTTAAACCACTACTGAAAGCCTCCTGAACATTTATTTTGAACTTGGTATTAAATATTCTCCATCTGTGAGTCAAATGCAGGAGGAAGTGCTGTATCTGGGAGGAGCTGCCCCAGCAGACATCCAAGCACTCCTGTTGCCTCCCATTCAGCCAGGAGTAGGCTGCCCAGATCATACAGCTGCCTTGCTAAATCCAAGCAAATTACCAAATCAATGGTTTAGGGAAGGTAAGAACCAGGGCTTGTGAGAAATTGTTACCTATAAACAAGGAGAAAGTAACAGTGGGTCCATTTTCTTAATGATTTGAATTAATCACCACAGGACCCAAAGTGTGGAGGACCTCAACTGCTTAAGCCATAGCAGGTTAAGCCACTGCCTGTAATGCTGGCATCCCGAGCCTCTTGCTAATGTGCCTGGGAAAACAGTGAAAATATGCTCCAAGTGCTTGGGCCCCTGTACTAACATGGGAGATCTGAAAGTAGCTCCTGGCTCTTTGCCTTAGCCTATCTTAGCTTCTGCCATTGTGGCCATTTGGGGAGTGAACAGTGGATAGAAAGACCTCTCTCTCCCTCCCTCCCTTGCTTCCTCTCTCTCTCTCTCAAAGGTAAATTGATTTTGGTGCCCCAAAATTTTGAGATCCATGCATATGAAGGGTCTTCCAAAAGTTCATGAAAAATGCATGTTATGAAAATGGCATGCATAGTTTTAAAATATTTGTGGCAACAAAATAAAACTTATCTTTGAAGCTCACTTTCCACATACTTGCTGAAGTACTCTTGTATACATTCAATAAAATCTTATATACAATTTTTGTTTTGGTAAAACTGAATATAAAGTCTGCCTTCAAGTCTACAAATGCCAAGTGCCCAAACCTCTCCATGTTCTAGGGTAGCATGGCTCATTCAGCTACTCTAAGGCCCTAGTGATGAATGGGAGGGGAGGTTAACCAAGTTAGAAAGTTTGGGATATGCCTCAGGGAATGCTTCCTTCTATGACTGAGTAGCTGCTGTCGCTAGAGAAGGTGTGGTCATTTAAAAACAAAACCACAAACAAGTAGAACATCAGCTCTGGACTTGGAGCAACTGAGCTGTGAATTTAGGGTCTGACACTTGCTACCTATGGGGACGCCAAGTCTCCATCTGTAATGAGACAATCAGCACCAGCCCTACAGGAATGGAGGATTACGCATGGAGTTACTCACAGGAAGGTTCCTACAAAACTGTTGTTTCATGGTCACTCTGGCTTACCAAAGGTATGGGGGGCAGAGAGGCAAAGATGGCCCCCAGCATGGCTTGCTTCCATCAGAAATATCAACAAGCTTCTTAGGGAATGGCAAAGGGGCAGACTGATTAGAAAGCATTTACTTCTAATTCTAGGTCTTAGGGAGCTCTTGGGAGAGTTCAGACGTTTTGCCGAAAGCAAGGCAGAGAATATTCAGGCCCACATGGAGGAAGAATTTGTCAAAACAGAAACACTATGCATGTATGAACAGTATCACTTAGGGTTTTGCACACAAGCCGGGCTCACTGAACTTTGTTTTAAAGAAGGGGACACATTTAGTTCTTTGAGACCAAACAATGGTTTGTTCAACCACACACTTTGGCTTGCAGCAGACTCTGCCTTAAACCAAGCGAAAGGAGAACAGATTATTTGTTTATATGTTATTTTCATTTTTTTGCCATGTTTACATTTTTCCTAACCCATTTCTTTCAAATGCAATGAAGCTGGCTTTCTTCACTGACAGCTACTTGGAATAAGCCCTGTGCCAACAGTATTTGAACAGTCTTCCTCCAGTGGGATATCTTAGGAAAGTATCCTTGCTTCTGATAGGGATACATTAACACCTCAAAAGTTAAACTAAGCTCTTAAAATTTCAAGCCAAAGAGCTGAAACAGCTTTGCTAATGGTAAAAGAAAATTGACAGTGTTAAAGCGCCAACACTGGCACAGGAGGAAAAGTCAGAGTGGTTTAAAACCTGCCTAAACTATTTTTCAAAGCAATACAAAATATATTGTATTAGACTCAGGGGACATATCAAAACAAAACCTGAAGTAGCCCAAATTCTCTTTTTTCCCCTTTTTTCTGGAGTCAAGTCAATAACTTGCTTATTCTGGATTTCTTTCAGAAGCTATTCAACAGTGGCTGGTTCCCAAAACAATGAGGTTTGTCTGCATAATACATATAAGTTGAGCTTAAAAGGGTCCAGATGACAATTTCAGCATTTATGCCCTGAAAGTCCATAATTTATAGCTAAAACTTACATGGTATTAGGAAGTCAAATTCAGCTAGAAAATATTAGCAATTCCATAAAGGGTTTTCTTTTACCACAGTGTTGAAAAATATATATTCTAATGCTTGTTAACTTAATATTCAATGTGGCTAACAAGTCATTTTCTGTAAAAAATATCAGTGAGGGGAAACATTGGTATCCATATTCAGACCCATGGCTGGTTCGGGGTCATATTCGCAAATTAAGCAGAAAAATTTAGGTAATTTAAGAGCAGAGCAGTTGTTTAAAGTCATCATTCAGAGCAGCTGGCAATGAAGACCTGTTCTCCCAAGGAATTACAATGCTAAAAGGAATAATAATGGTGATGATCTTAATAACAATTGATGTTTCTTCAGTGCCTACTACATGCCTGGCATTGCTTCTTAGTATTTACAGACACTACTATACTGAGTCCTCACCACACCATTCTATGGCATGGATATTTTCAGGACTCTTGTTTCACAAACATAGCAGCTAAGGGCAAGAAATCCTTACTTATCTAATGCATTCTGGAATCAAATGACTTAGGTCTCCACTTAGCTTTCTGTGTCTGGTCAAGTTACCCTTTCTAGGTTTCTCATCCATACAATGGACATAAGAATATCTGTCTACTAGTACTTTCAGGTGCACATGTGATTGTCCCTGCAGACTCCATGGTGGAGTACCTGGTGCAAAATAAGCACCTAATACAGGTAAGCTATTGATTTGGTTGTGACTGCAATAGCGATGCACAGACTCCTGCAGAGACAGCAGAGTTCCCTTCCCACAGAGCCAGAAAGTTGCACTTTCCTGCGGGATTGCTACCCTGTTGGCCATGCGGGGTGTGTGTGTGTGTGTGTGTGTGTGTGTGTGTGTGTGTGGCTCCCGAGCAGGCAACAGCAAAGACAATCCAGGAACACTGTGTCCTAGGATCAGTGGGCAGGTTACACTTGGGAACACTCGGAGGCTTTGACTTTAAGTGGAAGAAATTTATTTCTCCAAACATCATTCCTGTTAATTTGATAGTGTGTAGTGGATATTTTCCCTCCTTACTCTCCTTATTTCCTAGGAAAACCAGGCAGTAGAAAGGAGGAGGAAAAGCAGTATGAATGGATTTAAGATCTTGCTCTACCTCCTGACAGATCCCACAACTCCTCACACACAAAGATGCTAGGAAAGGCGGGGCCAAGTGTAAGGGGACGTCAATAAAGATTCAAGAAGGATATTTTGGCACCTATGAGAAATCTGTTTCTTTAAGTCATGCGGTTAGCACTGTAAGAAATTATGGCCTGCCCCACCCGCATTGGACTTGACAGATGAAAATGTGGTGAAACCCTGAACTATCTCAATGACATGTCTCCATAATTTTTCTACTGTGTAGAAGAAACTTAGATCAAATCAACCTGAAAAATATTTTGAGTTGTCTGAAAGTATTTCTAGAAGATTTATCTATTTATTTGAAAGGCAGAGTTACAGAGAGGTGGAGGCAGAGGCAGAGGCAGAGTGAGTGTGAGTAAGAGGGAGTGGGAGGGAGGGAGAGGGGGAGGTATATTCCATCCGCTGGTTCACTCTCAAACCTGTGTCCATATAGGATACCTGTACTGCAGGCAGCAGCTTTACCTGCTATGCCACAGTGCTGGCCCCAGATGTCTCCAGTTTTAATAAACTTAAAACATATTACATTATGACAAAGCGAAAGATAAAGAAGACATGGATAAAAGATCCCTGGCTGCAGGTAATTAAGTAGAAGGAGTTTCTACTTAACAAAGTCTGAGTGTATTTCTTTGGTACTGCTGTGGAGTTAGGGCAGAAGTGCAGTATACTCTCCATGCTGGCAGCTTGAAATTCCTGCCTTTTCAGATACTCAAGGAAATTTCTCAGATCAAGAGTCTAATCAGAACTCATAATAAAGTGGCTCAAAGTAGCATGACAAAACATTATCAAAATTATCTCTTCATTACAAATACATAATAAGTTTTGATTAACTTGAGATAATTCTTTTTTTTTTTTTATCTTTTATTTAATGAATATAAATTTCCAAAGTACGACTCATGGGTTACAATGGCTTCCCCTCCCATACCGTCCCTCCCACCAACAACCCTCCCCTTTCCCACTCCCTCTCCCCTTCCATTCACATCAAGATTCATTTTCGATTATCTTAATATACAGAAGATCAGCTTAGTATACCTTAAGTAAGTATTTCAACAGTTTGCTCCCACACAGAAACATAAAGTGAAAAATAATAGATGATTTTTTTTAAATGATGATGAAATCAGATCAGACCTATTGTCATGTTTAATCCCAGTGAGAGTCAAGTTGGGAATTGAAAATTTCTTTCTTTCTTTCTTTCTTTTTTTTTTGATTGTACAGAAGATCAGTTTAGTGTACATTAAGTAAAGATTTCAGTCGTTTGCACCCCCATAGAAACACAAAGTGAAATATACTGTTTGAGTACTCGTTATAGCATTAAGCCTCAGTGTACAGCATGTTAAGGACCGAGATCCTACATGAGGAGTAAGTGCACAGTGACTCCTGTTGTTGACTTTACCAATTGACACTCCTGTTTATGGCATCAGTAATCTCCCTATGCACCAGTTATGAGTTTCCAAGGCTATGGAAGCCCCTTGAGTTCTCCGACTCTTATCTTGTTTAGACACGGTCATAGTCAAAGTGGAGGTTCTCTCCTCCCTTCAGAGAAAGGCACCTCCCTCTTTGAAGACCTGTTCTTTCCACTGGGATCTCACTCACAGAGATCTTTTTGCCAGAGTGTCTTGGCTTTCCATGCCTGAAATACTAACTTGAGATAATTCTTAATGTCACTTGCCCATAAGATTCTTACTAAGTTGAAATAAACAAACCCAGCCTTTCTGCTGCTGGGGCCAGAACACGATACCCGAGGCACGGTGCCTTGGCCTGCGGAAGGAAAAGGATACCAAAAGCAAGATCTTTCTGATCTTCTTCTGCCTTTCTTTTCCCTGCTCCTTTTTCCCCCACAAGACAATCCACAGAATTTACATTCCTCTTTTTCAAGATGGATCATAGAACCTAGAACCGCATTCTCCCAAAGCCAGTCATAAAGCTGAGAAATACAACTCTAGGGGCTGGCGTTGTGGTATAGCAAGTAAAGCCACCGCTTAGAATGCCGGCATCTCATTGTGGGCAATGGTGGGTGTCCCGGCTGCTTCACTTCCCATCCAGCTCCCTGCTAATGGCTTGGAAAATGCAGCAGAAGATGGCTCAAGTGCTTGGGACCCTGCCACCCATGTGGGAGACTGGATGAAGCTCCTGGCCCCTGGCTTTGGCCGGGCTCAGCCCTGGCCATTGGAGCAACTTGAGCAGTGAACCAGTGGATGGAAGCTCTGAGTCACAGCAACTCTGACTTTCAACTAAATAAACAAATCAACAAATGAATAATCTTACAACTCCAACTTTCCCCTTTCTCTGTACGAGCTGGCCATACAGAAATTCTCCAACCCGTGTTGTCTGACAGATTCTAAGGCTCTCATTCCGGAGGGGATCCTGTCTGATCTGCAGGAAGGAGGGCCACGCAGAGAGGCTCAGCAGAATCTGGACAGGCCTATCCGAGTTTCCCCTCCCAGTCTATTACCATTAGGTCATACTCTTTTCATCCAGTTACATTTCTACACAGCTGTTGAACCTAAACATAAAAAGTTTTCCCAGGATGCTTGCATCTGCATTTCTCAAGGCTCTTGGGTAATATAAAGTTTTGATGAAATAAAGCTGATATGCATTTCTCTTGTTAATCTTTTATCACAGGCTTATTGACCATGACCTTTATGATGGGTGAGAAAAGGCATTGATACAGTGGAAACAGGCAAGAAGCTGAGTGGAACAGAGGAGCTGAAAGATTTTTCATAATTTCTGCACAGCCCTGCATTATAACTCCACACCTTCTCTGTCAATCCAGTATGCCCACTTTCCCATGATGCACTTGTTTCTACACCAGGAAGGAAAAGATCCATGATGGTCAGGTGCAAGTTAAACTCTATGTGGAGGTGCCATAATCCCAGAAAGACTCAAACACACCAAACCCAACCTAAACTCCTCCCCTGTATTCAATTAGGGAACCAATCCCTCTCCATAAAAGAGACTGTTACACAGGTGATTGGCCCTGTTTGCTTTTGGCTTCTGGCTCTTGCTGGTTCCTGTTCCTTCTCTGGCCTCCTCCCATACTCTCTCCTCACAGGCAACCTCTGGCCTACTCACGATGGGTATTGCTCAGTGTGGGTGGCCCACACGCATATGTGAATGTATATTCACCCTCTCATTTTAAATAAACCAATAAATCCTGCTCTAATTTGTGCACCCTACTTATGCCTCTGCTTTGAATTCTTATCTCTGTGAAGGCAAGAACTTGGAATATGAAAACTGGGACACATATTCCCATAACAGCATCACACCTTTGCAGCCCTACACCTGAAGAGACTTTCCTGTTGACACTGACAAGAGCCTGGCAGGTAACTGGGTGAGAACACCCAGCTCTGCTTAGCAGAGAGGCTGCCCTGGCTGTGAAAGGCATTGGGAATGAAGAGGCAGAACACCTGTTCCACCTTGGCTCAGGAGAGCAAGGGTCCCATTCTGTTCCTGTGTATTTTCAATCGGAGTCTGGTTTCATGTGTTTCTTTACAAATTGTTAGAAATGCTGAAGAATAATATTTTTGAGGACAATCATACTGAAATTTGAAAAGCGAAGATGAAAAATCTTAATGGTATTTTTTGGGTGATGACTGAGATGATGGGAAGACAAAGGTTTCTACTGCCCTGCTCACCCAGAGAAATGATTTTCTTGATATTTTAAGAGCCTCAAATAGGTACTTTATAAAAAGTCAACATGAGAAAAAAATATGGCATTTAACAATATTAGGAACAACAGTTTGGTGGAAAATCTGAACATTTATTTCATAGTAATATGTCTCAGTTGGACATATATGATAACATGTTAGTTATAATTTAGAAACTTAGAAAAAAATTGAAAGATGAAAAATCTTTTATATCACAAGTAATAATGCAAAACAACCTGCAGACTACTGAAATCTTCTTTCTAGAAAATGTCACAATATTTGCTTTTCACATATGCTGTGCTAGCCATCCCAACTCTATAGTCAAAGGTAACGTTCTTATTTTACAGGCAGTAAAGCTGTGGCTCAGAAATGTTGACTTCGTGAGTACACTTTTAAAAATATGTGAAAAATGGAATTAAAAGATGCTCATTTTGGTGCAAAGAAATTTTGAAATCATCCATAGTTTTTCATAACACACATTTTCTATGACCTTTTTCTGAAGACTACTCATAAACATGGATTTCAAAATAAACTTATACTTTAATTTCATTCTTCCACAAACTTTCTGAAGTACTCTCATAATTTGCTGAGGATACTACAGTTGAGAGGAGTAGAACTGCGCTTTTAACCACTGTGATATTTTACAGAGAAACCAGAGTACACTCATTAAAACCGCTGCTTGACAAAACACAATTTATTTCCTAAGACATTTTGTTCCAAAGTTTATTATGCAAATGTGTTGCTGGAATGATAATCCAATATATTCTTAATACCTTTCAGTAGAATTTGAACACTGATAGGATACTTTTCTTTTCCACCTCAATGAAACAATAAATAATGATTTACCCACAGGCATGCTAGAACATCTCATGATTTGCCTGACATGCTAGCCCTGGATTTTATGACAGACGATCCAGATCGGAAGGAGCTATGCAAAGTGATGTTTCCTTTTCCTGCTGAGAAACAAATGAGCACACCCCAGTGGGTCTGACCCTAAACAACCAGCCTTGTAAAGTCACCACTTAACTCCCTGGGAGAAAAACAATCCCTAAACAGCAGTGCTAGGATGCTTGGCCATCCGGAGCTGGACAAATTAGTGTTCCTCCTTTCAGCACCATGTTTGCCTGTGATCTTCTACACCACCCTGTCACTCAAATGGTCAAGGAGATTTTTAACTACTTTTTAATTTTTTTAAATTTATTTTTGGAAGCTTTATTTAATAAATACACATTTCATACATATAGCTTTTGGATTATAGCCATTCTTCTCCCCATACCCACACTGCTACCTCCACTTCCTTCCCACCTCCTATTCCCTCTCCCATCTCAGTCTTCATTAAGATTCATTTTTAATTATCTTTATATACAGAAGATCAACTCTATATTAAGTAAAGATTTCAACAGTTTGCACCCACACAGATACACGAAGTATAAAATACTGTTTGAGTACTAGTTTTACCATTAATTCTCACAGTACAACTCATTAAGGACAGAGGACCTACATGAGGAGCAAATGCACAGTGACTCCTGTTGTTGATTTAACAATTGACACTTTTATTTATGACATCACTGATTACTCGAGGCTCTTGTCACGAGTTGCCAAGGCTAGGGAAGCCTCTTGAGTTCACAAACTCTAACATTATTTAGACAGGGCCATAAGCAAAGTGGAAGTTCTCTCCTCCCTCCAGAGAAAGGTACCTCCTTCTTTGATGGCCCCTTCTTTCCACTGGGATCTCATTCACAGAGATCTTTCATGTAGGTCATTTTTTTGCCACAGTGTCTTGGCTTTCCCAGCCTGAAATGCTCTCATGGGCTTTTCAGACAGATCCCAATGCCGTAAGGGCTGATTCTGAGGACAGAGTGCTGTTTAGGGTTGTTTGTCATTCTGTGAGTCTGCCCCACTTCCCATGTTGGATTGTTCTCTCCTTTTAAAAATTCTATCAGTTAGTATTAGCAGAGACTTGGTTTCATTTATGTGATCCCTTTGACCCTTAATCCATATTTGCATGGTGAAAATTTTCTTTAAAATTTTTATTTAATGAATATAAATTTCCAAAGTACAGAATATGGATTACAATGGCTTCCCCCCATAACGTCCCTCCCACCCGCAACCCTCCCCTTATCCACTCCCTCTCCCCTTCCATTCACATCAAGATTCATTTTCGATTCTCTTTATATACAGAAGATCAGTTGAGCATACATTAAGTAAAGATTTCAACAGTTTGCTCCCACACAGAAACATAAAGTGAAAAATACTGTTTGAGTACTAGTTATAGCATTAAATCTCAATGTACAGCACACTAAGGACAAAGATCCTACATGGGGAGTAAGTGCACAGTGACTCCTGTTGTTGACTTAACAAATTGACACTCCTGTCTATGGCATCAGTAGTCTCCCTAGGCTCTTGTCATGAGCTGCCAAGGCTATGGAAGCCCCCTGAGTTCACTGACTCTGATCATATTTAGACAAGGCCATGGTCAAAGTGGAAGTTCTCTCCTCCCTTCAGAGAAAGGTACCTCCTTCTTTGATGACCCATTCTTTCCACTGGGATCTCACTCGTGGAGATCTTTCATTTAGGTTTTTTTTTTTCCCCCCCCAGAGTGTTTGGCTTTCCATGCCTGAAATACTCTCATGGGCATTTCAGCCAGATCCACATGCCTTAAGGGCTGATTATGAGGCCAGAGTGCTTTTAGGACATTTGCCATTCTATGGGTCTGCTGTGTATCTCACTTCCCATGTTGGATCATTCTCTCCCTTTTTGCTTCTATCAGCTAGTATTTGCAGACACTATTCTTGTTTATGTGATCCCTTTGGTTCTTAGTCTTATCATTACGATCAATTGTGAACAGAAATTGATCACTGGGACTAGTGAGATGGGATTGGTACATGCCACCTCGATGGGATTGAATTTGAATCCCCTGGTATGTTTCTAACTCTACCGTTTGAGGTAAGTCAGCTTGAATACTGTAATCAATACACAATTCTTCTTAAGTGCTGAAACTTAACTGAAAAATGATCACTGTAAAATATAAGAGTGGGAATAAGAGAGGGAAGAGATGTGCAATTCGGGACATGCTCAAGCTGACTTACCTCAAGCATGGTGAAAATTTAAAAAAAATTAAAAAACTATTTGAGAGGCAGAGAGGGGGCACAGGGGAAGGGGAGAGTAAGAGCTTGCCTTCTCTCTCTCTCTGCTGGTTCACTCACCAGTGCTCCTGATGTCAGTCCAGGTATTCTACATGTAGAGGTCAGTAGGAGCCCAACTACTTGGGCCATCCCTGCTGCTGCTGGCAGGAAGCTGGAATCAGGAGGCAGAGCTGGAATCCAGGCACTCTGGGGTGGGCTAAGGGTATCCTAATCATTAGGACAAATTGTCTGTCCCAACAACCTTTTTTATACATCTCAGATATGACTGTTTACCATCAAATTTAAAGCCGATGTATTTTCTTTTAAAACATAAGCCCTTAGTGTAAAATCACAAATATTGTGGTACTTACTATGTGCTAGGTGTTTCGCTGGGCACGGGGAGAGAATGGTAAGCTGGAACATGGGGACACAGTCTCTGTTTTCACTAAAACCGAGTATTCACTTGGAACTCTTATTCATGTTTGCTCCAGTACAAAGGAAACCTTTGAGGTGCTTACTAATTTTGAGTTACTACCTTAGGAACACTAAAATGAAAATAAATACCACTGTACTAAACAATACACTGACACAGTACACTGCATATTTTTGGTATTTCATTCCTCTTATTTTTCCTGAGATTATTCCTTGCACTGCTTGATAAGCTCTTCAAGAACTTGCTTATTCAGGAACTGGAAAAAATGATTGAATAGAATAAAAGAAAAGGAACAATGCTACCGCACGCTACAAGGTGAAAGCCTAAGTTGAGATGAAATGGATGCACGTCACAAGCTCCTCTTGATGCAGTGTCAGCATCACAGGTCCTATGCTTGACTTCATCCAAGTGGAAGAAAAACCTTGCACCACGTTTAACTCATGCTACCGACAGAGGCACAAACACCATCAGGGAGGGTGGTGTTCAGAACACCGTGAGTAACCGTAGCGATGCGCTAGACCCACCCTGGATGGCTCATTTCCAGGACCACGGGGCACAAGTCTGGATTTCATTCACACTCACTTCTTTTTACTTTTTTATTCCATCCCTTGCCTACCCACCCTTCTAAACCTGCCTATGCACAACAGTGCCCTCACATTCTACCTCTTAAAGCCCAGTGCCTTTGAATGTGTTCCTCTTGCTTTGGAAGCACATTCTCAAATCTGGCCCAGCCTTCCCCCTAGATTAGATTTTTGGTTTTAACTCGATACTTTCACTATAGGTAACTGATAAACACTGCGCCACCATTAGAAAAAAATTAGGTCAATATGTATATACATTTACAGAACAATTGCTAAGCTGTATTAAGTGAGAAAAACAAAGTAAGCAGTGTATATAATATGCAATGATTTGTTTATGTCAACAAAGATACACCAACCCCTCTGAAAGGCAGAACAGCTCTGGATGGAAACACAGGAACTAGAACTAGTGGCCATCTCTAGGGGTGTAGAACAGGTAGTTCAGATAGAATAGAAGGATATTTAGATTCTACCATTGGTTCTTCTCCTTTTTCATAACTTAAATTTTATATGTTATTATATTCATGCAGACAATACTGAAAAAACCTTCTTATGTTCAAGTTTCATTTCCTTTTTTTATGCACTGAATATGCCTGGAATTTGAAAATTACTTGCAATAGCTTTTTCCACTTGTATGCTCCCTCCCTCCACTTAGCTAAATGGCACTTACTTTATGCTGTCCTAAAAGTCACAATGCCTTCACAGCAAACTACCTACCTTACTACATGTCTGCTTTCCCCTACTGCTTTTGGTTTTTGTACTGTTTATACACATTTTACTTCCCTTATTATCTGTGAGTTTTTAGAGTGCAGCACTTAGTCATAATTTTTTCCCTAGAACAACTTGGATGTAATAACCCAACATTAATAGGAGGGAGCAGTGGAGAATGGAGGCCACAGTGAGTTATGCTGCAGACCCCTGGTTTCTAGTTTATGGTGGGTTCTCGGTGCTTAGCAGAGGGGCTGATGAATGACTATGAAGGTAAAACTTCCCACCACGGCTGGGGTTCTTTTGGTTTGTGGTTCACAGAAAGCACCCCCGTAATAAAGAAAGGTGTAAACAACCCCTATGATTACAAAATCATCTATGAGGGGTCTTACAGCAAAAACATGGGTTTCCATTTAATTCAATTTCTTTCTGCCAATGCTTTGACTCACCCTGGTATTATATTTGTGAGGCTACAGGCAGCTCAAAGATTTCCCAAGAAAGGGAAAAGAGCCTTAAGAATCGTTTGAAGGATGAATATTTATAAAATCATTAGTCCAATCTAAAAATCTGAAGTTGAATGCTTCTTAACTGCACTTTCTCCTCCACAGCTGACTCCTAAACAAATGCCTCATCATTCACCTCCACACCAGCCCATCTACACGTCTGGTCTCTCAGCGTCACCAACACCCCAAATTGCCAGGTTTTCTCTGCTCTGCGTCACAGTGACTATTTCAAGCAGTTGTATAATCACCTCCCCTGTTCTGTCTTCCACCTTAAATTACAAACAGTCACCTCTAAAATATTTACAGTTCATCTGACCTACATGCTATTTTCTTAACTTCTGTTTACACTGGATTCCTAACCAGTCTTTCCCCTCTTCCAACATAGAACACTAAGTGATCAGAGCCATGAAAAATACACCCTAGGAATTTAGATTTCATCTTCAAAGTTAGGACATTAAAAGAAAAGTATTTCCTATCAGGAATGATTATTTTGTGTTGTTCAATCAGTTTCCCTATCTACCTACCTATCCTCAATCATATATCATCTACCTACCTACCTATCCTAGATCATGTATCACCTATCTACTTATCCTAGATCATGTATCACCTATCTACCTATCCTAGATCATGTATCACCTATCTGTCTACCTATCCTAGATCATGTATCACCTATCTCTATCTGAGAGGCAGAGAGAGATAGACAGCGAGCTTTCATCTGTCAGTTCACACCCCAGATTTCCACAACAGGTGAGATGGGGGCCAGGCTGAAAGAAGCTGAGAGCTGAGAATCTCAATCCAGGTCTCCCATGTGGACATGTCAGTGTCCTTGAGCCATCACCTGCTGCCTCTCGGGGTCCACAGTTAGTAGGATGCTGGAGTCAGGAGCCAGAGCTGGCAATCAGACTCAGATAAATTGGGTGATACAGGTGTCTTAACCTGTTTAATTAATTGTTAGGCCTAATACCACAACCATATTTTTAAAGAAGCAACATACATATATATATATATATATATATATATAACAAATATAATATATATCTGCTTATATAAAAATATATTATATATAAATATAATACATAAAATATATTATATCTGCTTTATATAAAAAGCAGATATAATGGGCTCAACATGGAGCTGCATCCCATATGGGCACTTGTTCATATCCTAGCTCTTCCACTTCCTATCCAGCTCCGTGCTAATGGCTTGGGAGAAGCAGCAGAGGATGGTCCAACTGTTTGGGCCCCTGCTACTCAACATGGGAGACCTGGATAGAGCTCTGGCTTTGGCTTAGACCATCCCTAGCTGTTGCAGCCATCTGGGGAGTGAGTTAGGGAATGGAAGATCTCTCTCTCTTCTCTCCCTCTCTGTAACTCTTTCAAAATCAATCTTAAAAATAAATTGTTCAACCTTCAAAACGGTCAGCTGTGAATAAGCTACAGTCATTCAGCAATGCCTGGACACAGTGCTTTCATAAAGCAACCTTTGCCACCTCCCCAAAATTAAGTTAATCATTTAGAATTTGTTTCCATCTGTCATAGACACAAAGCTTGAATAAATGTACATTAATGTGGTTCAGAGCAGAGTACTTTGTGTTAAAGCAGAACAATAGTGATAAGGAGCCCTTCAGCTTCAGGAAGATAAAATATTTTCATAGCTATATGAATACATAATAAAATACAAGATGATTAACTTATTAAAAGAATTTTTAAAGATCATTATTTTACTTACATCCAATGAGCCTTCATTTATAACAATCATTCCCATGTTCTTCTTCAGAAGTTTGCAGGAGTGTCCTGTGTCCAAACATACAGTAAATCTATTGATACAATTTTTCCACAGAGAAGAGGCAATGACACTAAAGTACTGCTACCATCAGAATATTGGCAGTCAGCTGTTTTCCAGGTTTATAGGCGTTAAAAAGGAAATGCTCTTCCTTGAGACTGGAGGGATATGAAACAAGGACAACATCTGGCCTGTGAAGGCCGTCTTGATACACAAGTGTGGGGAGTGCTGGGGGGAAGAATTCCCAATGACCTGAGCTCTGAATGGCTGTGAACACCCTTCCTAACGACCAGCGTGAAGGGCAAAAGCTGGTGCACCTTTGCTCCCAGAGGAGGCTGCAGGTGGATAGACTGCCTGGCCTTGAATCCACTGACACCACATTTCCTTGGCCTGGACAGCGATGGCGTCCTCCCCTTTCCTGCCCTTCTTGCTTTGTTGTATCTGCAGCAGGGCAAAAGCACTCCCTGTTGAACCTACCTTTGACTGTTCTGTACCTGCTTGCTGTAGCTGAGCATAGCCAGGCAGCTCTCACTAAAGAAACAATACGATCCCATTCAAGATACCATCTACACTCACTCCCACTGAGGTCTCATTCCAGCTCACGGTTTCAAACATCTAAATGTTGACCATTCTGAAACTTGTATCTCTCACTCAGACCTCTCTCCCAGACTCCTGACTCTTATCCAAGGGCCTACTGAACATCAGACACTCAGGTATACAGCAGGCATCCCAAACTTAGCACACGAAGGAATCAGGTCCCTGACCTTTCCCCTAGAAACCACACTATCTCTTCGGGCTTCTCTCTGGTAAAGGCAACTCTCTCCTGCCTCTGAGGCACAGTGATTCCTGTCTTCCTTGGACACCCTACGTCTAATCTATCAGTCCATTTTGTTGGTTCTACTTTGAAAACACATGGAGTACTGAACCACTTCTTCCTGTCTCCACCCAACATTTTCCCTAGATTAATGCCACAGCCTCCTCACTGGTCTCCCTGCTTCATCAGACACTAAATTTGCTGGTGTTTTGACCTTGGACTTCACAGCTTCCAGAACTGTGAGATGTAAGCTTCTGCTGTTTCTAAGCCACTTAGTTTATGGTATTTTATTATAGAAGCCCAAAAGGACTAGGCCAAGGACTTAGGCAAGAGGACTGGTGTCCTTCTAAGAACAGGAAAACACCAGGAACGCCCATGCTGGGTGGAAAGGCGGGGGGAGGACAGGGTCAGGAGGTGGCTGTGTGCAAGCCAGCAAGAGGCCTTACCAGAAATTAACCCTACAGGCACCTTGGTCTTAGACCTGGATTTCCAGAGCTATGAGAAAATAAAAGTTGTTGAAGCCACCCAGTCTGTGGTATTCTGTTATGATGGCCCAAGCTGATACAATCTGTTCCCCCAAAATTTACTCATCTGTAGAATGAGTGTGAATTGGCAACTTCTTCCTTCCTTTCTCAGAAATAACCTTTGGTCATAAGAACAAGTGGAGTACACAAGCCTGCCACGAGTCCAAACTCCGGATTTGCACAATCAGTTGTGCAAAAGCTATCTGCATGTGTCCCTGATGGAGGGAGGGAGGGAGGAAGGCTGTCAGCAGATGCAGGGTGAGAGAGGGCATTTAGTGGTTGCAAGAGCTAAGTTGCGACTGTATATAAAATCACTGAAATGTCAGAGGAGTTTTGGGGCCATAAGTAAACACATTAGCCTAAAATGCTCATTAGTAGAAATCCAAAATCTTGAAATATCAAATCTTTCAAGTCTTGATATGTCTCAAACTTATCTTCTAAAATATATCAAATTGTTAAGAAGTACCAAGATATAAGTTAAGTGATTTACCAATGTTAATGGCAGTTTCTTGCTTGTCCCCTGTAAGGATCCAAATTTTGATGTCTGCTTTCATTAGGGTTTCTATGGTTTCAGGCACTTGATCTTGCAATTTATCCTCAATGGCCGTAGCTCCAAGTAGCTGAAGATTCTGGAGAAAATGAGTAGTAAAAGCTTTAATAAAAAAACAAGTTCAGATTCTTGAAGAACAAAAAATGGAAGTACATGTCTGTGTTAAAATCAAGAGATTAAATGATAATTAATGGACCTAATCCCAGAGATTTCTCTCTTAGGGATCTTCAACTTCATCCAGTTCTTTTTGCAGGACACTGAGATTTCCTGAGGCTTTCAGCCATCACTCCTCTCTGAAAAATGTAACTGATTCTAAAAACTACACATTGTTGGGGTGGGGAGGAGGCAGCAAGAAAACTCAGTTAAAAAGGAGTAGGCAGCTGCTAAAAACAAATCAAGAAGAATCCATAGAAGATTACCACAGTGAAACAGCAATCTTGCTGACCTATTTGGAAAAAAGTAAGGCTACAGGCTACTATTATTAAATTGTAGTGTAACACAGTGTCAGGAAATGCACACACGATAGAATTAGAAATAGTGAAGGAGAAAGCAGTACACCAAGAGGCAGCATCAGTCTCTGTAAGAAACAGCAGCTCCAGTTTCCCACACTGTTCCCTAATTTTTTAAGAAACCTTTTATTTAATGAATACAAATTTCCTAATTACAACTTTAGGAACATGGTGGTTCTTCCCCTCCATGCCCACTGTCTCACCCCCACTCTCATCTCACCTCCTCCTCCCTCTCCCATCCCATTCTTCATTAAGATTCATTTTTAATTAACTTTATATACAGAAGACCAACTCTATACTAAGTAAAGATTTCAACAATTTGTACTGTCCATTACACACAAATTATAAAAAACTGGTTGAGAACAACTTTAACAATTAACTTTTTTTTTTTTTTGGACAGGCAGAGTGGACAGTGAGAGAGACAGACAGACAAAGGTCTTCCTTTTCTGTTGGTTCACCCCCAATGGCTGCTGCGGCCGGTGCACCGTGCTGATCTGAAGCCAGGAGCCAGGTGCTTCTTCTGGTCTCCCATGCGGGTGCAGGGCCCAAGGACTTGGGCCATCCTCCACTGTACTCCCGGGCCACAGCAGAGAGCTGGACTGGAAGAGGGGCAACCGGGATAGAATCTGGCACCCTGACCTGGACTAGAACCTGGTGTGCCGGTGCTGCAGGCGGAGGATTAGCCTATTGAGCCGTGGCACCGGCCAACTCTTATAGTACAAATATAATATAGTCCTGTATGGGGAATAAGTGCACAGCGACTCCTGTTGTTAATTTAACAGTTAACACTCTTATGTATGACATCAGTGATCACCCAAGGCTCTTGACATGAACTGCTAAGCCTATGGAAGCCTTCTGAGTCCACGATCTCCATCAGTGTTCAGAAAGAACCATAAGCAAAGTGGAAGTTCTCTCCTCCCTTCAGAGAAAAGTAGTAGTGAAGTAGGCAGCTATGGACATTAGAATGGTGACGCAACCATATTCAACTCATTCCTCAGATCTTTCTCAATATCTTAAAGTGGATGTCACCAGTATGTTATGACAACTATGCAGAAATCAAGAATCAGGACGTAATATCAACTGTGTCTATCTCTTCTTTGAAAAGCAAATGTGTCCCAAGGCCCTCAGCATATTTCCATAAATGGTAACTGTCCAGACTGTATTACATGGCTATCCCTAACTATTAGTATTTAGCTTTCTCAGCCTCCACAGTGGAGGCATCCAGGCAAAAGGGGGATGGGATTGAGAATGAAATCAGCCAGTCAATATTCTCTGCAACAACAGGCACATATCGGGCATGCATATGCATAGAGTTTGCAGGCATTTATAGAAGTATGTATGTCTATAAATAGATACACCCACACATTCTCCCACTGCCTTGCCTAATGAAACCTGGCTCACCCCATGAAGCCAAACTCAAAAGGTATTCCTTTTAAAGGTTTCCTTTACTTCTTAGAACAGGTTTTCCCCTTCACTGTGCTTTGATAGAACTTTGCTCATCTTTACACATCTTATTATATTGAGATTAGCTGTTTCAATGGAAGAATGGTAGGACTGCTCAAAAACAGGATGTATGTCTTGTTCATTTTTATATTTCTATATTATTAGGAGTCAGCAATCAGTTTGTTTCTTATGTGGGCAAATGACAAGCAAAACAAAAGAAAAATCCAAGTGTTAGAAAATATTTACTGCAATTTAGATCGTTTTCAGCATCTTCCAAATAATGTGGACAGAGATGAGGTACACTTAATGCATGACTCCTTAGTATGCAAAACACAAAACAGGAAGGCGACTTTCCTTCTTTAAGAAGACAGTATACTTTATTACCTTTAATGGGAAGCAGATTTGAAATCTTTCGTAATCTCATGAATAATTTTCATCAGGAAAGAAAAGGAAGAATAATTCAGCATCAATGATGCCAGCATTAAAAAATGCTGTATTTCCATGTTTAGACCATGATTCTATTAATTCTTTCAATTACTTTTAGGTCACTTCCAGTTAAGCCATTCTGGTTTATATCCCATCAGGATGTAGCTGTGTTCAAATTAAAAATATTTTACAGAAGGCATCATAAGGGTTTTTAATGATCATGGAGATAGTTCAATAATATAAATTATCAAATTTTTCTAAGCAAAAAAATTTTTTTGGTAATATGTTTCACAAAACACTGGGTAACTAGATAATGTGAGAGCTATAATGTTAGAAATATACACGCAAATATGCCTGTATACTTTCTGGCTTTAAGGATAAAAATAATCTCAGAAAGTAGAATGTACATTCCCACACACATACCTATAAAAGTAAAATGACCTTACTGAGGAGATCACATTTAAATCATATGTGAAAGAAGGAAAACATCTGTTTTTATGTAGATTAAAGGGAAAACATTTAACAAACCAGCCAAAAATAACATGTGGGTTCTTCAAAAAGTTCGAGGAAAATGGTACTAAAAGTTAAGTTTATTCTGTGCGAAATTTTTAAATTATTCTACTAGAGGTCTTCAAGAAATCTCCTGAAAAAATGTGTATCATGAGAAAAACTATGCATGAATTTCAAGTTGCTTGCACTAAAAGAAATGTTTTAATACCATGTTCCTAGAACTTTTTAAAGTGTTCTTGCCAAAGACCAAAGACTGTAGTGCCAGGAAGGTATGCTGAGAAAAGTTATAAATAGGTTAACATGAAGTGTGTTGGTAGCTATGCTAACAGGAATTTCTAGGATGCTGGCATTGTGGCAAGTAGGTTAAGCCTCTGCCTGTGTGATCCCAGCATCCTATATGAGCGTTGGTTCCAGTCTTGGCTGCACCACTTCTGATCCAGCTTCCTGCTGAATAAAAGCAATGGAAGATGGCCCAAGTCCTTGGGTCCCTGCCACCCATGTGGGAGACCTGGATGGAGTTCCAGGCTCCTGGTTTTAGTCTAGTGCAGCCCCGCTGTTGCAGACATTTGGGGAATTAATCAGCAGATGGAAGATCTCTCTCTCCCTCCCTCTCCCTCTCTCTCTTGTAACTCTTTCAAATAAATCTTTAAAAAAGGGTAATAAAACATTTCTGGATATCTAGGAAAACTGCGATGGGTCCACTTTGATGTCTATTAAGGAAACATTGCACTCCACAAGCTGTTAACTTTCCCTTTATCCTCAGCGCTCCCTGAGAACTTCCTAATGTTAGTGGAAGGCTCTGCAGACTCCTTTCCTCTTGCCCTGGTGTCATTTATTGTAAGATTAGGATCTTGACTGATTGGTTGTTCTGCCTTTGGAAATTAATATCTTCAGCTACAGAATGGTCATTAGAAAAAAAGATTTGAACTATGCGTGCTTTTCCCGATGCTAACCCAAGAGTGAGTAGGCTGTAATCAATTTCATCCCAAATATGTATTACCTTACACAGATGGCCTCTAATGGGCACTATGGGAATTACATATTCAGCAAGCGCTGAAACGTGATAAAATTCCCATGGTATTTGCAGAACTGAAAAAATCCAATGACTAATTTTACTTTCAAAATGTCATCATGCCAAAAGTTATAAAGGTTTTAGGTTGATGATTCTTTGACATAATATTAGTTATCACTGAAAAATCATGAAATAATATTTATTCACTTAGAAAAGCCCACAAAAAGCTAATTTTCTCTTTCAGATGTTTTCAGGGAATGCAGAAGTTTAAAAAAGGCATATAAACATAAAATTTCAACTCCAGTGAAGATAAGATGTTTCACATAAAAGTACTTAAAAATTTCATGTAGGGCCAGGTAAAATGTATTATGGCAGATCTGGGTATTGTGTTTTTTTTCCAGTACATGTTTATTTTACTAAATAATAAATCTTAGCACAACCTATTTCTATATTAGCAAAATTTTGTGTTTAGATGGTACCTTTTTAAAAATTTGTGTTATGTTCCCAAGTAAGTATAATAATCTTAGTGATATCAATTTAGGCTTAAGATTACAATAAGGACTACTTGGTAGGGGTTTCCTTAAGACAAATAAAGAAACAATATTGATAAAGCAAGATTTTACCACTGGTGTAAATATGACAAAAGACTAGGAATATTTAGTAGATCTTACTTCAATATGACGTAAGATATGATTAGGAAGGTGAAAAACCATCTAACATTTCCTGAGCAGGCTGAGCTATGATGGCAAGAACAAAACACCAAGAATCAATGCAGACCCAACAGGAGCGAATGGGACGTAAAACTGAGATGAAATAAAAGTGAGAATTTTACACAAATCATTTGTCTCTGTTCTTTAGTTGTTTTCTTTTTTAACATTTATTTACTTGAAAAGCAGAATAACAGGAAGAAAAGGAGAGCTCTTTCATCCATTGGTTTCGTCTCCAAATGCTTGTAACAGCCAGGGTTGGAGCAGGCTGAAACCAGGAGACAGGAACTCCATCTGGGTCTTCTTCGTGGGTGGCAGGGACCCATGTACTTGGGCCACCATCTGCTACCGCCCATGTGCATTAGCAGGAAGCTGGATTGGGTGCAGAGCTGGGACTCATCCCAGGTACCCTGAAATGGGATTTGGGCACCACAATGCTTGCCCTTGTTCTTAAATCTTTAATAACATGAGT